TGGCGTAACGTAATACCGTGTGATGATTTTTTAAAAAGTGTTGAAATTACTAGTTTTTGAAAACATTTAAACTTGTTTATGGCATAGAAATGTTATTCCGTGAGAGTAGTTTTAATACTTTATATTAGTCGTTGTTCTAGTATACGATTTGTTTGTTTGTTGTTAAGCGTAAAACTACAAAGTGGGCTATCTGTGCTGTGCCCACCACGGGCGTCTAAATCCAGTTTTTAGCGTTATAAGCCTTCAAGGCTTACCGCTGAACCATCGGGAGGAGGCGGGGACTTAATAAACATTTAGAAATAGAATTAGATCATAAAAGTAAAATCAGTATGTGTACGAGTTTCACAGACAGACAGATGGAAATGGATGGATAAATCGACAGACACAGATGGAAAGATAATATATTTTTAATTGAAAACTAGACTAAGATAGATTTCAAAATTGAAAATCAAATTAAAACACTTGTATTGTGATAGTCCGTGATTACAAATCAGTTATGGTTTAAGTATTTAAGGTTTTGTATGAAAAGTGTATAACTAAAAATAAAGATTGTATCATAAAAAAAAATGTTCAAGCAAATAAAACAGACTAACAAAATTAAACGATAATTCAAATAAATTCATGAAGGCTCAAAATTCAAAAATGGACCCACCAGAGAGGAACATAATTTCCAATACTTGACACTTTCATTTGTCACTGTCATGCTGAAAATAAAGCGATTAATTTGTTCAGTACTTCGAACTATTAGACCACACCCGTATTGTTTCCATAATATCAATATTGTTTGCCTGCGCTATCGCTTAACATTAGATACAGTGATGTCAACTGAGTGCCATGATTCTTTTTATGTTCACATTACCCTTTAGAAAATGCGTTTTTTTCTCTTTTTTTTTTTCGGAGTTTTCCAATTTCTTATAAATATTGTCTTCAAAACAGGACGCCATTTATGACACCCAACCCACTTACATAGAAAAATATCTTGTGAGGTCCGACATTTTTACTTACCCATAATTCCTCGGTATCTTTAAATCTAGAAATTGGAGATCATGACACGTGTTTGAACTTGTAGGGTGATACTGAGATTCCGTGGCCTGCATCTCGTTACTGTCAAAAAGAAAAAAATAATCGCTCTCCTTATGATGGGATTGTGGATGCGTTATAAGAGTGACGGTCAAGTCCCCCCTCCTTTTTTGCCTTGCGGGAATAGACCAAGATTCGGCTTGGTGGTGGTCATCCTCTCGTCTAGCACTTCAAAATTAGTGATGACAAGCATAGAAAGCGATCGTGTAGCTTTGCGCGAAGTCCAACAATCAAACAAATTGAACATGTACAATGTAGGTATTGTGGTAAGTGTGGATAGGTACACTTGCTTTTAGCTAAATGTGTACAAGGTATGTCGTGTGGTTGGCTGTACACATATTTAATGTTGACTATGTAGTAGGTTTGAATATACATAATGTGGGGCCCCCCAGTGGCACGGCGGTATGTCTGCGGACTTACAACGCTAGAAACTGGGTTTCGATACCCGTGGTGGGCAGAGCGCAGATAGCCCTTGTGTAGCTCTGTGCAGAATTAAAAACAAACAAAGAAACATAATGTGGGCCACGTTGTAAATTTCAACTTGCGTACTATAGGTCAAATTTTACTTTCAAATTTCTTCCATTTTCGTACTTTTTTTGGCAGTTTTATACACGTACATTGTAAGTTTGAATATTTAGCATGTTGAAGCTTGCAAAACGGCATACCATGTTCATATGACTTACACTGTATAGGTCCGAAGCTACCACACAACATACCAACAACACGATCTATTATGTACGTACATATGTATATACGTGTGTGTGCGTTCAAACGTATTACATAACTACCAGTGTACATATTCAAAACACAAGTTATGCTGTACACGTTCGTATCAAGAACTTTTACTTCAGGAGTCATGGAAAGTTCCAGTTCACGTAGAATGTAATTTAAACACATACATCTCAAGATAAGTAATAGATTTAAACGTAAACACAGAAAGCTATATTGCTTTATCAGTCGGCGGGGTTTTTTCTGGATTATTTCGTAAAAATAAAGTTAGTTCCAGTCCACGTACGAATAATAAATTAATTCGTTCCTTCTTTAACGTTTGTTAGAGCCACGCTAACTCTAGGCCTAACTTCAAATACAAAAATTTTCAAAAGAAAATCCGAAAGTGTAGACCTAATACACTAATAATGTTTAAGATAAATTTCCTTCATTTATAACAAACCTGACTAACTTACTGATTTGTTGATAGAAGCACTAACTCTCAGTGATCTGAATAAATTTGCTTGATAGACAAATCAATCAGTCTTTCCTCGATCATCAACCACTAGAACATCGATTTATTTATACTAAATTATTACTTCTATCAAATACGGGAAGTTTCTAGATTAACATAACATATAAAATAACGTTTTGGGACAACATGGGACCTATTGGTCCATCTCGGCTGTTCCATCCTCTAAACTAAATTAAAATAAATAAATTCAAAAATATTATAGCCAGCCCTTATCATTCACATACTTATCAAGCTTTTTCTTAAATTCACTTAAATTTACTGCTTATACAACATCCGAAGGCAACCTATTCCAAAGGCCAACCGCCCTGTTAGAAAAATGAAATAGTCTTAGCTGAAGATGACTCTTACCCTGCCAAAATTTATATTTGTTTCCCCTAGTCCTACTATTATCACTGCTAAATAGAGAAAAAAGATGATGCATCAACACTATTAATTTCCTTTACAATCTTAAACACCTCAGTCAGATCCCTCCAACTCCTTCATTACAGGCACCATTCTAGTAACCCTTCTCTGAACCATTTCCAACAATTCAATGTCTTTCCCAAGGTAAGGAACCCAAGACTGAACACAATATTCCAAATGTGGCCTAACCAGTGACCTATACAATGAAATTATAAACTCTTTAGATTTGTATTCAATATTTCTGTACATACAACCTAAAATCCTATATGTCCTACCACTAGCAACAGCACACTGCTTGAATGGCTTTAGAGACTGATCAACAATTACACCAAGATCCCCCTTTTTTTCGTAACACTCTGAATGTTATTCCCATCCAAATTATACTTATAATTCAAACTATGATAACCCATATGCATTATATTGCATTTATTATAATTAACACACATCTGCCATTTATTTGTCCAACTCATTAATGATCTAAATCCTTTTGTAAATCAGCAGTATCCTCTTCAAAGCTAGCAACACTCAATACCTTAATATCATCTGCAAATTTAAGTAACTTATTGACCATTCCTTCATGTATGTCTGATGTAAATCAAAAAGAGCAAAGGTCCTAAGACTGAGCCCTGATGTACTCCACTTGTGACATTAATCCACTTTGACTGAACTCCATTTATAACAACCCTCTGCTTTCCCTCATCTACATGAGCAGTAACCTTTTCGAAGAATGTCAAAAGATTTGTAAGGCAAGATTTTCCCTTAGTGAAATTATGTTGACTATCCAATAAAATTCTAAACTTTGTTAAATGACTTTGTAAAGCATCCTTTAACAATCTTTCCAAACCTTTCCCACAACTGATGTAAGACTAACGGGTCTATAATTACTGAGACAATATTTATCACCTCCCTTGAAAAGAGGAGTTACATTAGTTAATTTCCAATCCTCTTGTGTCCACTATTCAAGGACTCAAGTGGCTCACATATCTAATCCTTGAGGAAATATTATTTGGCCAAGGAGCCTTATCGTTCTTTAAACTTCCCAACTTTTTCTTAACCAGCTCAGAATTAATGCAGTCATTTTGTTTGATCTCGTTTCCATTTATCAACTGTTCAAGATGTGGAATACTGTTTGTTTGTTTTTTTGAATTTCGCGCAAAGCTACACGAGGGCTATCTGCGCTAGCCGTCCCTAATTTAGCAGTGTAAGACTAGAGGGAAGGCAGCTAGTCATCACCACCCACCGCCAACTCTTGGGCTACTCTTTTACCAACGAATAGTGGGATTGACCGTCACATTATAACGCCCCCACGGCTGAAAGGGCGAGTAGTTTGGTGGTATGTGGATTCGAACCCGCGACCCTCAGATTGTGAGTCGAGCGCCTTATCCACCTGGCCATGCCGGGCCGTGGAATACTGCTTAAACCTTCGTAAGTAAAACCCGAAAAAAAGCAAAATTTAATAACCAAGCCATCTCATAATCATCAGATACTAGACTTCCTTTATCATCTCTCAAGGATCCTACCCCCATCCTAACATCTTGTTTACCCTTAATGCATTTAAAGTAATCCTTACTGTTTATTTTTACATTTTCAGCCAACCTTTTCTCATACATCCTTTTTGACGTCCTAATGTCCTGTTTCACCAGCTTTCTGGATCTTCTATAATCTTCTAAATCTCATGTCAGACCAGTCAATTTAAATTTATGATGCTTTTCTTTAATTTTATCTCAAACGTTTTGTGAATTAATCTGGTTTTTACTTTCAGCTACCCTTTTCTTTGAATAAAGAATATGTTTACCTTGAATATTTAAAAATTTATCTTTAAAAGGTTTTCACGTCAGTGTCTCCAAATAACTCAGCTGCCCAATTCACAACAGATCATCATGATTAGAAGCTCCCTCTAGCAAACAATTAAATTATAACATTGAAAATATAGCTTACAAAAAATATAATATGTTGAGAATGTATATTGTTGCTGCTGTGAGTTTAAACGTGTATATTGTAAGCTACGGTGAGTTGAAGGTTTACCTTGTAAGTAATCTGATGGGTTTGAACTTGTAGACCATAGGTATAGGTAATGTACTAATTTTAAATGCGTGTATTGCAGGCAATTGGTTGGTTAAGCTCGTGTAATTTAGATTACATGTTATATATTTGAACATGCACAATGTAAGTCATGTGGTGTAACTCGAACAATAAACAGCTTACAAGGAGAACATCTTACTCAAATGAACCACGTACTAATAAACTAATCTCTATTTACTTTGATCCATTCCAGAATGTTTGGAAGCAGTGGAGCTTGCAGTGCCTGTGGTCAGCTAATCCCAGCCAACGAGTTCGTCATGAGGACACAAGGAAATGTTTACCACTTGAAATGCTTTGCCTGTGTCAAGTGTCACAATCAGTTAAACCCAGGCGACCGCTACAACTTGATCAATGGCAGTGTACTATGTGAACAGGACTGCCTCAAGATTTTGAAGGGTGGATCCGTGGGAACGGGAACTTCGCGGAAAGGGAAAGTACGGGCTAATTCAGCTATTAAGGCCGTGTGAACAATGTGAAATCAGATATATATTATCAGCTAGGTGGATGGTCTTATCTATACGTTCTCACTACCTTACAAACCACCCAATTTCCAATAGTAAAATAATATAGTAGTTTTTCCTTTCAACCCTAGACCATCCGATAACTTTCATAATTGAGATCATGCACACACGCTCTCGAGCCTGACCTCACACTAACTCCATCAAGCAAAGTGCTATTGTACACGAGAGTAATGGCAAGTTGCCTTTCAGTATTTTCTATAGACCAGTGTTATTACATTAAATACTGAATGATGATGTACTGTACAGAGATTCAGAACTTTCTTTGGTACTTGTGGAGAAGTCATTCAGAAAACCGTGTAATCTTGAGTTTTGCCACTTTTAGTGCAGGACAACAAATAGTGTTAAGCCTAACATATGCGTTAAATGTGGAGAGCCTGTACATAGTGTATTGTCAGTTGATTTATCTAATAATGCATTGCTCATCGAACGGGAAAAATGAAGAACACATTATAGTAGGTATAACGTCTTGCGATTAGCACAAACGGTTATTATAATGACATTCTAGCTATATAGTAATATTAAATACAACCACAACAAGCACTATGAAATCCGCTAGCCTCAAAAGTTCTAAGTCTAATTAATTTCGCCAGAAAGGGTAAAAATTATTAAGGAAATCCTTCTCTCTCTCTCTCTCTACTTACCCACTCCTTGAAAAAAAAGGGGGAAAAAAACTCAAAGGTATTGTACTCAAACATCTAGAAGTTTTTACAAAATATATATGCTATAAAATCATATGCAACAACAGATCGTACGTGTTTTTGTTGTTGTTTTCTTTGGTGGGTTTAACTGAAATAGGAACTAAAACATGTAAAAATACCCAAAGGAAGTAGTACCCCCTAACGACGGATAAATGGCATCACTCTTTGCTCAAGACTCTTTTAATAAATAACAATTTTAAAAATTCTCGTCGATGACAAACCATGCGAGATATGACGGTAAAACGAAGACTTGGATGTGAGAAGATGTGGAGAGAACTGTTGCCCGTGGTTACCTGTTAGACTTTGGGATATAGTATTCTTTTTTGTTGTTGTTGTTTTGTTTTGTTTTTTACGCGGAGTTCCTGAAACTAAGACTTTTGAACAACATTGGATGACGTATGAATATAGTCCACGTTATATCCTAACCAACGGTGACTATCTTTTCTGACAATTTAGTAGTGATGCTGGTTACAAACTTGACTAATCCGTAATAGTGTTTTTCCGTTTAAACTTCTAATTGTGAAAGTGTTCTTGAATGTTTACACTGTTGAACTTCCTATAGTCTTGTAAGGCACACTATTTTGGAAATAGTCTTTATAAATCTGTACTGGAATAATTATCTCTGTATAAGATGGTTAATCAATTTTGTGATAATTGATAAACTAAAAACATCATAAAAACCTTAACTAATAAAACAAAAGATCCATTACATCAATGTTTTCTCGCATTTTACCTACTCAAAAATAGAACTCTTGTTTGTTGCCTTTCAATATTGTTGCCCCATTCCTTTTAGGGCTTACTTAAAGTGTCTGATTTTACCTCAAGTAACGAAAACGAGTGGTGTATGAGAATTCTATCATACCTTACAGTCTTTATTTCCAAAACTGAAGCATGTACACAGTTCTTTCCAATTTTTTTCCTGTTCGTTAGGTGTATATTTATTAAGAAAATGATACAAGCTATCACTCAGTATGAATAAACGTACGATATTTATAGCCTAAACAGGAACCTTACAGTTAAAACAAGGGGTCTAAAATACATAACTCTAAGTGTAACAAGACTGTATGATTATATATTGTAGTTCCACTAAGCATGAACTTCTCAGTGAAAACAGAAATCCTAATGTATAGATACACTTAGTGCAATACAATTGTATCACTGTGTAGTTCCACCAAAGACGAACTTTATAGTGAAACAGGAATCTTAAAGTACAGATACGCTAAGTGTAATAAGATTGTATGACTATGTATTTCCACCAAGGACGAACTTTACAGTGGAACAGGGTTCCTTATGTATAGATACGCTAAGTGTAATAAGATTGTATGACTATGTATTTCCACCAAGGACGAACTTTACAGTGGAACAGGATTCCTTATGTTTAGATACGCCAAGTGTAATAAGATTGTATGACTATGTATTTCCACCAATGATGAACTTTAAAGTGGAACAGGGTTCCTTATGTATAGATACGCCTAAGTGTAATAAGATTGTATGACTATGTATTTCCACCAAGGACGAACTTTACAGTGGTACAGGGTTCCTTATGTATGGATACGCTAAGTGTAATAAGATTGTATGACTATGTATTTCCACCAAGGACGAACTTTACAGTGGTACAGGGTTCCTTATGTATGGATACGCTAAGTGTAATAAGATTTTTTGATTGTAATTTCTGATATTACCCTAGTAACGAAGGTAAGAGTTCAATATGGCACCCCCACTCAATTTAAAAAAAAATTCATCAAAGTAATATTTATGTATTAATAAATCATAATAATAGTATGATCTGATAATTTTAATACATTATTATACCACTTACTTCATTAATTAGATGTACAATCTTCTTGGGGAGAAACTTTACAAATGTCTTGTATAAAGGCATCAAAAAGGCTACTTTTATCAGAATATAATGTTCTCCACATGTATTCACACAAATGCTTGTCAAAGCCATGCCCCAATTTTTCTAATACGCCTCTTAAAATAAATCATTTTCAGAATCTTTTTTATCCAGGCAATTCTACAATTTTTGGGTGGGGGTGCCATATGGAACTCTTTCCGTAACGAAGATTAGTATTGTATTTTCTAACGATAATTATTTGAAATATATCTACGTCTGGTAAGAAGTCGATTTATCGTTACCACTCACACCAAAATACTGGTTAATGATACAAACATATTCCGTTATCAAAACCGATAATACTTAAACAATAACTCGTTTTCCCAAGTAATTCTACATTAACGTTCCTGTTAATAATTACGATTTATCGTTACCGCTCACACCAAAATACTGGTTAATGGTACAAACATATTCCGTTATCAAAACCGATAATACTTAAAGAATAACTAGTTTTTCCCAAAGTAATTCTACATTAACGTTCCTATTAATAATTAGGATATTTATAGTTCTGTCACAATTATGCTTCAAACACTTAATCAACACTTACAAAGTACAAACATTTACATGGTTCATACTAGACATATATCTGTATTTTGTAATAAATTACCTTGCCTGCCTGACCTTCGTGGCGTATTGGAATTCACCAAGTATGCTAGGAGCTAGCAACAAGGTCTGACATTGTTTAAAACAAGTAAGTCTTTATGTGTCTTTGAGTAAGCATGAAAATGTGTATTAAATCAGCTATAAGTTTCATATGTGAGCCACCAAAAAAAAACGAAACAAAAAACCCACATATTCTATTTAATTTATAAACTTAAGTTATGCAATACAAAGAATAGGCGAATTTAATGTTGCACCTAATTTTTAAGCTCCTGTTTATCAGTGTAGCGTTAACTGTCAGTTACTACGAAAATTAATATGTCAGTGTCAGAAATAATCTAAACAAGTTTAATAATAAAATAGTCTTACCACTAGATCATATAGGAGGTGTAAGAAAGTAAGCATAAACTTTCATGGACCATCATTATTTTAAGTGTACCAATCTGATTTAAGTTAATTGCAGAAGCGGATGTAGGATTTTGTTTTGGAGGAGGAGGGCGGGGCGGAATCAAATCACGTAAGAGGTATTTACATAAAATAAAAGAGCCGGTACATCAAATGCACGGATTTTGAAGGAAGGCGTGGAACAACACAACTGTTCTACTTTAACATATAGAAACCTTTTAGATAATTAGTATTACATAGTCATGTAAATATAGGACACTTTATGCACTATTAAACAACTGTACACGAATTATGAACCACTAGAGGCTGTAATTCGCCCTGCTGCAGATTTGAAATGAAAGAAATTCTTCAACAAACCTCACATGATCGAAAGTGCGTGACGTTTTGGTTTCCAAACTGTGTCAGGATATACAGCTCTCATTCTGTACCGACAATTTTGTGTTGCAATTACTACAACGTTTTTTTTTTTTACCTGAGTCGGACCTATATTTACATCTAGGTCTTTACATCAGCCTCACATCTTTAAACTTGGCTTCCAAACTGTGGATGGTAGCACCCCTAAATTGCGAAACTAGCGACACAAAATGAGCACTATATGCTGTCATGTCTTGAAAGTCAAAATAGACATAACTGAACTGAGGTGATGTTGGCTTTTCAAGTGTTGTTATTTTATCTTTACAAAATTATTGCTACAAAATGTTATATTGAGTTTTTGGCAAGTTCTGTGTTTCAAACCTATACATATTGCTTGTCCTTAACGCCGCCTGATGGGTCGGCGATAAGTCTATGTGCTTACAACGATAAAATTCGGGTTTCGATACCAGGAGTGAACAAAGCATTGATAATCCGTGGTGTAGCTTTGTGCTGAACAACAAGAACAAACCAATTAACCTTAACAGGACGTCCAATTGGCCGCTGAACCCGAATTGGTCCATAAACAGTTAAAAAATCATCTCTCAGCAACTGAGCTTTTGCCCCCCACTGGCACAGCGGTATGTCTGCGGACTTACAACGTTAGAAACCGGGTTTCGATACTCGTGGTGGGCAGAGCACAGATAGCCCATTGTGGAGCTTTGTGCATGAATTCAAACAAACAAAACCTGAGCTTAATTAAAAAGAGAACAAGAGTTATTAAAAATTCTCGAAATTATCTTAATTATAATGCAGATTATAATGAATTATTTTAGTATCCATTCTTTTACAGACGCATTCTTACTTATATTATTCGCAAAGTGGCTATAATTATTTTACCATATGGATCTATTACTGACAATTATTTAGATATTTATAATACACTTTATGTTTATTTTATGTCCTGGTATTTATTTTTTACCATATTTATTATGCGTTATTTTTTTTTCAAGTAACTGATATTCAATGTTAAGATTCAAACTGTTTTTAACTATTTCGAAGAGTATACAAGGGACCTCCCATGATGATGATAGACTAGTGGCGGGGAACACTGTTTCATATGTGAGCCACCATACGCAAAAAAAAACGAAACAAAAACCCACATATTCTATTTAATTTATAAACTTAAGTTATGCAATACAAAGAATAGGCGATTTTAATGTTGCACCTAATTTTTAAGCTCTGTTTTTCAATGTAGCGTTAACTGAAAAAACAAGTTCTTATATTGAGTTTTTGGCAAGTTCTGTGTTTCAAAACTAAACATAGTGCTTGTCCTTACCTCCGCCTGATGGGTCGGCGATAAATCTATGTGCTAGTTGGACCTAGCACATAGATACACAGGAAAAGCAGGAGAATGTATAAAATTTAATCCAGGACCCTAAGGCGAGATCTGGACTCCAGCTGTAATAGGTGTGCCTGTCGGGCACATTCCCTCGCTTCGCTTGGTCAAATAAACCTTTTCCCCCAACTTTTAATTTGTCTCCTACATCTCTGTATACAATACGTACCTTATAAGCTTATACATGTTCAGATGTTGTGTCACTAAGTTGTATGAAATGAAATGTAATTAATCCGTAAAAAGAGTGTTTGTTTTTCTGAATCAGGAATCAATATTGTAAGTCATATCTTCATGATACTAGATTTTCCTTGTATAACCTATAGAGTAGCATAGTAATATATATAAGCATGTAATCATTGCTACAGTAATGAAGTTAACATTCCAACAAACGATGCAACTTAATAATCCATAGATAGTCTACTGTAAGAAAGTAAACCCAATAACCAAGGCGAGCCGATATATAATTTCGAACACGACGACAAGAAACATATTAATGCATCAGCTATTTAAAAAAAGATTTCAGAAAATCACTAACATGATTAAAATATCTGCATAATCATACACATGCAATAAAATAAGATTATTATAGTATTTGATTTTAAAATAAATTAAATATTTTACGAGAAACACATTTGAATTTCTTATTTTAGCACAATTATTCTCGATGTGTGGTCCACCACTTCCTTCAGGTGAAACACATTTGAATTTCTTATTTTAACACAGTGGTTCTCGATGTGTGGTCCACCACTTCCTTCAGGTGAAACACATTTGAATTTCTTATTTTAACACAGTGGTTCTCGATGTGTGGTCCAC